TAACAAAATAATTAGGAAGTTTAGTTATCTCTCAATAGATGGAGAAACAAATAATAAGGAAAAATACTTGGAAGTTCAGTTATCTTTCAATAGATGGAGAAAACATTTAGAACAAATACTTGGAAGTTCAGTTATCTCTCAATACAGGGGTCACCAAACTTTTTTCACAGCGGGCTAGATAACTGAGAGAATGACGAGCACGCTCCGCATAACCATTTTGTTCAATACAATACAGTGAATACACAAAAAATAAAGACAACAAACATGTGTATTTTCCTAAAAGTTATCAAAGAAGGCGACGTTAGCAATAAGATAGTTATATCACACCCAGTGCACACACATCCGAATCCCACAAACTAAGCAGCAAAAAATGTTTGTGAGATTTGTGGAACTGGTGGTTAGCTTTTGAGATATCATCAATATTTGCTTTGGAATTACTGCACCCAACCAAGAGAATTGCTTTCAAATGTTCATCAGTCAACCTCGTTCGCTGTGCTGACTTCACATAATTCATTTTTGAAAATGTTTGCTCACAGACATAAGTTGTTCCAAACACTGATGCCATTACCAGAGGCAAATTTCTTCAACCTTGAAAACTCATCATCAGGTAGGCAGCGATAAAATTCAACAAGTTTTCCTTCTCTGTGCTTCACTTTCAACAAGTCATTTGCTTGCAAATCAATGAGCTCCAACTTTAGTTCGACTGGCACGTCATCAAGGTTACAATCAAACGGATTCTGGAACAGAAGAATGTCATTCTCAATTCTGTCGAGATCTGAAAATCTCTTCAAAAAATGCTTATTTAAGTCACTAATAATCTTCTTTGGAAACTCGAAGTTTACATCTTCTGCGATTCCAGCGCGAAACTCTTTGAAACACTGAAAATTAGAGAAGTTTCCTCCTTCCAGTTGTGCTTAAAACAATGATAGCTTTCTCCAAAAATCCTGTGATGATTCTGTAGAGATCACAGATAAGGTTATCCTTTCCCTAAAGTTTCAAGTTCAATTCATTCATGTGGGATGTGATGTCAATCAAAAATGACAACTTTGACAGCCAGGTAGGATCTGACAGAAGTGGATCAGCTCTCTCCTTTTCGGTGAGAAAAATATAAATTTCTCTTTGGAGCTTATAAAAACGAAACAGGACTTTACCGCAGCTGAGCCACCTCACTGCTGTGTGATAAGGCAAGTCACAGAATTCAGAATCAATTTCTTCAAGAAAAGCCTGGAACTGGTGGTGATTAAGTGCATGACCCCAAATGAAGTTCACCGCAGAAACGACTGGTTTCAGTACGCAAGAAATACCTAAGTCTTTCCCACAGAGTGCTTGCTGATGTATAATGCAGTGTATAAACAAAGTGCCCGGGAGTTGAAGATCTTCCAACTTAGTTCGTATCTGCCCCACCAGACCCTTCCTCACTCCAGCCATGTTTTTTTTCCTCCATCAACTGTAACACATCGAAGCTGATTCCACTGAAGGTTATAACCTTGCAAAGTTTTCTGCACTTCTATGAAAATGTCTTCTCCAGTTGTTGTTTCGTGCATGCTGCAAACGGATGCCAACTCTTCTGTGATCTGAAAGTCCAAATTAACACCACGAATGAACACGAGAAATTGTGATGTACTCGAGAGATCAGTAGACTCATCCAGTACCAGAGAATACATACCACAAGAAGTTCCTAGCTTTCTCGCGTATTTGTAATACCATGTTCTCTACAAGTTATTCTGTTCTCTGCACAACTGAACTTGCTGAATGGGTGATACTTCCGAACAAATCGGCTTTCTCAGGATACAAGTCATTTGCTACTTCCATCATACACTCTTTGATGAAGTTGCCATCAGTAAACGGTTTTCCTCGCTCTGCCATCTTATGCACTATTTTGTAACTTTTACCACTGACAGATTCATTTTCAGCAAACATTCTCGTGAAGAGATTCCTTTGAGATTTCAAAGTACATTTCATGAACTCAAATTTCTCAGAACGCAACTTTCCAGAAAACTTCGAATATGTTGACAGATGTTTTGTTTCATAGTGATGCCGAAGATTGTACTCTTTCAAAACGGCAACACTTTCGTTGCATATCATGCAACTAGCTTTCTGGTTGTTTGTTTCCACAGAGAAGTACTTTTCTCCCCATTTTTCATTGAAAAGGTGACACTCAGCATCTACTTTTCTTTTCTTAGTAGCCATAACGATGGTCGAAGAAAACAGGATCTGAAAATGAAAAACAATTGTTTATTTACGCATTGAATAGTCTACCAAAAAAGTTTTAGAAAAATAATAATTTTTCAAAATTTTTGAAATGTATATAAACATGACAAACTAAATGTAAATAGTTCATG